CATATGAGAAGATACGCGATCTACGGGAACCGCTGCGCTACCCATAAGAAGACTACGCAAGCCACGACGCTACCAGAAATGTCTTCGTTGTCTTCGTTTTACTACCCAGATGCTGTCGTCGCGCGCAACATTTGAAATTTATGAACTTTAATGACCATAAGTCACGTCAAAGGATACTTGAAAATGCATGAATTATTGTGGCCATAAGTCACGTTTATATTGCATGAATTTTTGTATTCAATGTTTGGAGATTTAATAATCATATTGGAAATGTAATACATGTCTTTTTATTTCCGAAGGTTGGGGATAGACTTTCCCCAAGGTACAGGCAACATCAATCCCACACCGCGTCGGTGTGTCGTCGCCGATTCGAGGCGGACGGCCGCGTCGCGTTACATTGGTGGCAGCGGTGGGATTGTATCAATTACCTTCGGAATTAAGGCATGTAAGCTTACGTATACAAAATTACTGAATCAATTCCTTTAATCTCAGAATTCCAAACAATGGCAATGAATACCAGAAGTCGCACCGCTGAGGCTGAGGAGAAGACCAGCGAAACCATTTTGCGGTTGGGAGAAGATAGACCAGAGACGACTGTTGGTGCCAGTGACATCACCCTTGAGGACGCTGGGGAACCCCTCATCCGCCCGAGACCTGTTAGCGAGCTGCCGGGAGCTAGGGACTCTGAAATCATCCAGTTTGAGAGGGCTACTCAAAGGGGAGGAGCGCCAGTGAGTTCCAGTTCGACTACTATCCGTCCTGAAGAAGTAGTGACAGGGAGCGTCCCGCGACCATTGCCTTCTCCAGTTTTGCTGCAACCCGGGTTAGGATTGACCCCTGGCAAGCGTCCGAGTTACGTCCCCGACAGATATGATGGAAACCTACCATGGTCCGACTACCTTTGTCATTTCGAGAGTTGTGCGAAGATCAATGGATGGGACAATGAAGAGAAAGCGTGCTACCTAGCAGCGAGCCTCAGGGGGGCCGCTCAGGCAACGTTAAGCGATGCGCAAGGGGAAGGGAAAAATATTCCTTACCACCAGCTGGTGAATCTTCTTTCTCAACGCTTCGGGCCT